ACAACATCCATGGCACCCGAGATTTTTTGGTCTCCTCTAGACCATGCAGAAAGCAGACTCTAAAACTCCAAGCGCCAGAGAAACTAAGCTAATGGGAAACAGACTGTAGCTCAGGTTTCACTTCCATAGGCTAACTCATACAAGTAGCTTAAGTCAAACAGACCCTGCTGGAAAGCCCTGTGACTCAACAGTGTGCCTGAAGGCTGAGTCAAGTGCAAGCCGCTGCTGCTGAGAGGTGGAAGAGGAGCAGAATGAGGCTGATACAAGGAAGATACCTGTTTACATACAGACAGATCCAACAGGAACTCGGGCTCTCTGCCGGTGTCGCGTTGATGAGTCAAGCTGCGCCATGTCAGAGCTCCATCCACGTGCAGGCGAGTGAGAGGCAGTAACAGCCTCTGTGCAGGACAGCCTACACACTGATGCAGAGGACAGACGGTAACAGCAACCCCAGACTGCTCTACTACAGGCACCTGCCCTAACACCCAAGTACTTGGAGACTCTGATCTCGTCTTCCTGACACCTCCCCCACAAGCCTCCTCGCTATAAACTGTACCCTCCCCGTAGCATCTTGGTCCAGCAGTGCTCCCCCAGTGCCCTGCATCTCAGCAACAAAAATCTCTGGAGAGGGGTTAGATTGAATGAGGCTGATCAACAGCACCTTCCATTCGCTGCTGATCAGCTCCACTGAGCACCCACCAGCCCCTGACACCTCAAAAGCCTGACAGAACACAAAGGAATGCCAGACCTTCAGTGTGACAGAGGAACAGGAACCCAGAAAATGGGGTGGGGAGAAGAGGGATGGGGAGACAAAGGAATGGAAAGAGAGATTTAGAGGGTCTTTGAGGAGTGTTTGGGGGTCAGTAGGAGCTTTGAGGCAGTGTGCGGGAGAGTCTGGGGGCTTCTGGCAGCTTTGGGGCAGCATCTGGGGTTGCTGAGGCAGGCTTTGGGGATATTTGGGATCTGTAAGGCCACTGCAGATCCATTGGAAGTAACAGAGAAAATACAGTACAGCGCAAGGCCTGTGCTAGTCATTATCAGTGTCCAGGGGTGCGGGCGGCTGCAGTCTGTTGTGGCACAACTTCATCAGACAGAGCTTTCTGGGGGAGGCATAGAAAAACGCATCACCCCCACAGCTCCTGCAGTGCTGACAGCCTCACACACAGCCGCCAAGGTACTGGCACCCACACAGCAGGGCAGTCAACCCCAGCAGTCATCTGTCCCCCCTGCCAACACTCCCCCCCCTTTCCTGCCTCACCCCAGCCTGCAAGGGCATTTCCACAGCCCTCTCACTGTCCCTCCAAATACCCCCCAGCCACTCAATCCTGCCCCAACATGACGCCTGAGCCCTGGTAAGTGCAAAATCACCTGGTCCTCTTCTTTGTGAGCACTGTGGCTGGAGTAAAGCAGTAGGCACTCTGGACGGCCTCTCATGTCTGCAGTAGCTCAGGGCCCTGTGTGTGACCGTAGTGACGCCAGAACTGCAGAATGGTTGAGGCAGCATGGGACCTCCAGAGCTCATCCAGTCCAACATCCCCTGCTCAAGCAAGGAGCTGCCCAGGACTGTGTTCAGATGACTTTTCAGTATCTCCACGGTGGGAGTCTCCACAACCTCTCTGGGCAACCTGTGCCAGTGCTCCATCACCCACACAGTGGAAAGTGCTTTCTGATGTTCAGAGGGAACCTCCTGTGTTTCTGTTTGTGCCCCTTACCTCTTGTCCTGTCACTCGGCAACACTGAAAACAGCCTGGCTCCATCTTCTTCACACCCTCTCTTCAGGTATTTGTATACATCGATAAGGTACAGCCTCCCCCAAGCCTTCCCTGCAGGATGAACAGTCCCAGCTCGCTCAGGCTTTCATCATCTGAGAGATGCTCCAGTCCCTTCATCACCTTGGTGGCCCTTCACTGGACTCTCTCTAGTATGTCCCTGCCTCTCTTGCACTGGGCAGCCCAAAAGAGCTCCTATGCTACAGACAACAGCCCAGACACCCTTCCCACCCAAAAATTCCACACTCCCTGACACAGGTAACAAGCCCCAGATAACCTGAGTAAGCAAATGGCCCCCAAAGAACTGAGGAATGCCCCAGAGATGCCAGCACAACCTCAGAGTCCCCAGAAAAGCCTCCAAGACAAAAAACAATATGGCTCCACAGGCCCCTCAACAGCTCTGTGAACACTAAGTCCCCAGAAGCAACGGGTGTGGCCCTACAGACCACCCCCAAGGAGACACAGCATCGACGGGCCCACCTCTCAGCATCTAGAGCCCTCGAACACCTATCGCCTGCATCCCTAACAGGACTACCTGGCATCGATCAAACATGCACTTTCCATCCTGACATGTGATGTATTAAAAAAAACAACAACCCACTACATAAACAAAAACCCCATACACAACTGTCTGTCTCTGTGATCAAAGTTGTTTAAACAGATCACTTCCATACAGCAGTATAATCAACATGTAGATTTCCAAGGCACCTTAAATTTCTCAGTAATCTTCACTAACAACAACTTGAAGTTCTAAAGAGAGAGGAAAATGGTATGAATCATGCTGCAAGAGCAAGCGTGTGCCCACTCTGTGTCACAAGTTCAGAATGCACAGTTGGGGCACCGTTAACAAGCTATTTCCACCGTGATTCCACTCAAAGTTTCTTCATTCCTTTTGCTCTTTGCACTCCATGTCAACATCGCATTCAAGTATCTGATTGCAAACTTTGCCACTCCAGGGAAAGCACTAAGAAATCTATCAATAAATTAAGTTCCTGCTTAAGGCTTTTATATCAGAACTGCTGCAGTTGCCCCAGCTCTTGGAGAACTTTTATGTTAAAATTGAAAACATCAAGAGAAGTCTGAAAAAAAAATACACAACTGCACAACAACTTTATAGCAAAAGAAGAAAGTCAAGCGATGCTGGAAGAAAGTGAATGAATTTAGTTTCTACTTTGTTCCATTTATACAAATTAAGAACTGAGACTCTTAAATATTTAACGCATTAAAACAGATGTTAACTATTATCAATTAACAAAGACATCTTTGACAATTAATCTTCTAATATAAAGTACTTATTTTTAAAACAGTGCTGAGAACAACACAGCTCAGCTGTAAATTTGCAATCTGACAAGTAACTCGTGGCATTTCTCATGCTTTTTTTTGTTTGTTTGTTTTTACTGTGTAAAGAAACTCGGGAAAAAACCTCCTTCCATTACAGAAAAACAGCAGACAGGAAGACAGTGAAACTCACCAGCCAAGGACTTTCAAATTACCTATATGCTGCACAGTAGACAAATACTCAACCACCCACCCCCGCCCACGTCCTGATGTCTCAAAAATAATATCTCAGTGCTTTGGATGAAATGATGACCAACTGAAGCAATTTTGTCGCTCAACCATCTACCCCACTCCAAGATCTCTCAAAAATAATGTCTCAGTGCTTTGGGTTAAATGATGACCAACTGAATTGATTTTGTCGCCTTGGCAACACTAAATCCAGTGACAGATCTCTTTGTTCTTTTTCTGAATCCACCAGCTGATAGCCAAGCATGTTTATAGCACCTTTGCAAACTTCCTGTATTTTCTTAATTTTCTGGAAGGAAAGAACATTTCTCCAGGCCTGTGAAACGCTAACCGCATCTCGAGATGTGATTTTGAAGGCTTCTTTTTTTTCTCCTGGTCCCTGTCCATGTGTGATATTATAGATCCAGCTTTTGAGCATGGGGGTTAAACTAAGATCTGCAAATTTATACATTTCTGAGATTTCTGATAATGGATCTCTTACCAGATCTTCAAAACGGATCATTAAATAGCGATCTTTAAGGAAATTAGGTGGTTTTAAAGTAGCCGTTTCATAAATCTGAACATGACTTCTACAAATCTCTTGCATTACTTTGTATTTGCTATCTTCCACTTTAGTGCCATTGGTACTCAAAACAATTCCATTGTCACGGGCTAATGCTTTGACTGATTGTTCCCGTGACTTGACGACTGCCCTGGGGTCACGGACCAAGTGAATAATTTTGAGATTCAGGGATGGATCAGTGAGAAGGGGGTAGAGGACCTTCAAGTCAAAGAATCGAACCTCCTTGATGACAACATGGCTATAAGTTTTACAGGCTTCCTCCACTTTGCTGAATGGGTACCGTCCACAAAGAGTCTTGCACGCCATTTCACTGGTTATGTCAGTACGTTGAAAGGAGTCACAAGCAGGAACTGAACACAGAGCCCGACTCACTGCCCACTGGAAAAGATCGGATAAGTTTCTTTTCCAAGGCATGTAAGCATCAAACACAGACATGTCGCACAGAAAGACCGACCTGACCAGGTCCCGCACGGCCATGTGCAAGACCCTGGCACTGTTCTGGTACATCGTAACCCACACGTGCCATGCAGGCTCCATCAGGTAGAAGACGCTGGGGTGCTGGCTGAAAAGTTGACCAACAAAAGACGATCCTGACCGCCAGGAGGAGAGAATGAGGATGTGGACTTGAGATGGTTTCTCCTCAGACTGAGGCATGAAATTACTGTACCGGGCATACATGAAGAGTAAGAATCCAGTCTGAACCGTAACAAAAAGTATAACGATTGTGCTAGGAATCCGAATCCTTGCCATTCTCACCAAGGAAAAGCAATTAAAAAAGCTGAAAAAGAGAAGGAAAATGCTGGTGAACCATTGCGCCTGTCATACAATAATGATAAAACTTACACAATACAAACTCTTCCATTAGTAAAACCTTTCTTCAAATGTGCATATATGTATTTGTCACTATTTGCTTCCTTAATCAGTGGCACTGGGAGATTATAATCTGCAGGTGACAGGTGTCGGAAACTGAAAGAAAGTAATGCATGACAGCAACATCACAGCAGAAATAAGTTTGAAGCAAATGTTTGATGTCGAAGGAAACCGTGGGTATGCCGAAGGACAAAAACCTTTCTGAATCACTCCACTTTATTTCCATTTCAGTCTAACATTACAAGGGCTTCTATCCCTTGTAATCCATTAGTAACTGACTACTGAAATAAGAATCATCTTCTTATCTAATGTGAGCACTGTACCCTGCAGTGATGGTAGGGTGCTATACCAATTGCTGCTTGTGCACAACCCTCTATTTTGCAAATTGCAGGAGATGGGTGAAAGCTCGCAACCTGAAGCTGAATCTAGCCAGAGATGTTAAAATGAAAAAACAGCTGATGTGTGTCTTTGGGCTGGAGCGCATATAATCCCACGACTGAACACCCTGAGTTTGCATTTAAAGAATTATCCATTTGTGAGTTAGGATTAGTCTGCATGTAACTCCTGGAAAATTTGGGCATGTCAACCCCAAGTGGACCTCTTTACTTTGAAGTCAAAGTTCAAGCCTCACATGCACTCCTCACAACTTTTTACCAGAGGTTTTTGGCACCTACCCCTTTGTGCTCTCACCTTTGCAGATTCCACTTGTACGCAGTCAGTATATGTTAGCAGGCACTGTATTAAGAAAATAAGAATCCTTGTGTATGAAGATCATCTCTAGAGTTTTACATGAAACCATGTGCTATCTAGCTGCATTTAGACATTTCTTGTTACAGTGAAAGGTACATATATCAACACACTCTGGACTCTTGAAAGTAAACCATGCAGACTACCAAATATAGATACATACTCATATGACATAATAAATGCACTAAGTTCTTAGTGCCAGCCTAATGAAACATGAAAAAGACTAAACTTTTGTTTGCAAGCCAAGAGAAAGAGCAGAAATATGAGCTGAGTAGGAAAAAGGAGTCAATAAAAGCACCTACCTTTAGTATCATGCAGAACCTTGTAAGGAGAATGAGACAAATGAGCAAGGCACTAAAACTTGCTTGAGGAAGTTTTTCTCCCAAAGTACCATCTCTCACTTGTAAGATATAGAATCACTGAATCATTAGGTTGGAATTAGGTTGGAAAAGACCTTTAATATCGACTCCAACTGTAAACCTCCACACTGCCAAGTCCACCACTAAACCATGTCCGTAAGCACCACATCTACACGTTTTTCTAATACTTCCAGGGATGGTGACTCAACCACTTCCCTGGACAGCCTGTTCCAGTGCTTGACAGCTCTTTTAGTGAAGGAGTTTTTTCTAATATCCAATCCAAACCTCCCCTGGTGCAACTTGAGGCCGTTCCCTCTCATCCTACCATTTGTTACTTGGGAAAAGAGGCCAACACCCACCTCACTACAACCTTCTTTCAGGTAGTTTTAGAGAGCAATAAGGTCTCCCCTGAGCCTCCTTTTCTCCAGACTAAACAACTCCAGTTCCCTCAGCTGCTCCCCATAGGACTTGTTCTCTAGACCCTTCACAAGCTTCATTGCTCTTCCTTGGACACAAAGGTCTATATACTGTTTACATCTGCTCTAGTTTATACCCACTCAGCTAAAAATGCCTTTTGACTGTTTTATTATGTTCCCTACTTCACCATACAATCTGTTTCTGTAGCTTAGCAACAGCATCTATTTATCTCTGAAACTATGGTCATCACTAAGTTTTCAGTAGTTGTGCTGCCCATTGAGGCAGGACGCTTTTCTCCAGTGGTTCCACATTCTCATCAGCTCTGCACAGATATCCGTGACATACGACTGCAATAGCACCTCCTAGGATGAAACCCACGGCCACCTAAGCCTCTCTTGCACAGTCCCAGTGCTTATCAGACTCTCTGCCAAGCCATTTCAGTCTGCTAGCCTGGAAGAAAGCTACCTGCTAATTTTTTTCACCTAGCTCTTCAGCGTTGAAACAAGTTGGCACAGCACAGACCAGCACTGGAGCTGTAAGAAGGCAGGGAACAAAAAGGCTTCGAACAGAAAGACAGCAAGGGAGCTCCAGACCACGACTGCCAACAGAATGCAGCTTGAGCCATGCACGCAGGTCTTTGAATTAATTCGTATTATACCTTTTGACCACCTACTGCTGTGGCGGTGTGCTCCCCCCACTCCCACTTGAGCAGTAAACCCCCGTGGTCGTGGTGGCTGCATCTGGCTGAAGCTGGACTCTTGGGAGTCAGGTCACAACACAACAGCCAGGGACTACCCTGCACATCTTGCTCAGCAGCTGAGGGCAAGCTGAGCATGTGCCAACCAAAATATGGCCAGTATGCAAACATGACTATAAGTCAACCATCTTACTCCGTAAATAGTGGACAGCCCAGAGCCCGCTGAGCTCTCCTGCACGGCCGTGGCTGCACGCCAGGATCTCCTCTTGAGTAGCGACGCTTCTCATGGTTACTCCTCGAGGCTGAGAGATTCCTTGCCGCAGCAGATTCTCGGTAAGTGACTAATAATGCCAAACTATGAAATCTTAGCTAAGTGATGTAAAGGATTGATTGCGCATATATAATCCTTTAGACATAAACCACTGGACCGAGCCTGGGACTGGGATCAGATCCAGCTGCACCTAGGCTCCTCTCTGAGAAGGAGTTTAGAGACCAAGGGGGTCCCTTCCGAACCTCGTGACTCAACGGGAGGGTCTCCCTGACAGTTTTGTCTGACCCTGTCCTCTATGCAGTAAATAATCAAGTGAACCTCGCCATCGAATCCTGTTAAATCACTGTCACATTAATCTTTGAGCTTTGTTAACTCACTGCTTTATATAAATAAATACATTGCTGCTTCTCTCGTGTGCGTGAAGTGCATAACTCAGACTACATCTGCAACAACTGCGTCATCATGTCACAAAACTGTTTACATGGATTTTTCAGCTGGAATAATGCCAGGCCTCCCCGATGATCAGTCTCTGGAGTCTACTGGGTCACCACTCACTTTACAAAAGCATGCAGCTACCTCCTAAGGCTACAAAATACAAATTAACAGTGAAAAGGATAAACCCACACAACTTCTGTGAAACAAACTGAAGAAAAAAAGTCACATCTTTCCAGTCAAACTGCTACAATTCTTTAGTCATTTCAAAATGGTTCATCTCATAGAATCACAGAACACTTGAGGTCAACAGGCACCTCATGTCGGTCCCCCTCCTCCTCAAGCAGGGCCACCTCCAGCTGGTTGCCCAGGACCGTGTCTAGGTGGCTTCTGAGTATCTCCAAGGATGGAGACTCCACAACCTCTCTGGGCAACCCATGACAGTGCTCCATCACCCACACAGTAAAAAAAGTGTTTCCTGATTTTCAGAGAAAACCTCCTGTGTTTTTGTTTGTGCCCAGTGCTTCTTGTCCTGCCACTAGGCACCACTGAAGAGCCTGGCTCAGTCTTCTTCACACCCTCCCTTCAGATATTTATAAACATTGATCAGAGGTAATGAAAGAATCTAAGAGGAAGTGGAAGAGCAGCTGCATTTGCTAGTTCAAGTTTTGCTGAAACAGATACTATGCCTGAAAGCCAGCCAGCCAGCCATAACTACCTTCCGTCTTTTTTCTTGTCTGCAAAACATTAGCCATTTTCTGCACTAAGACTGCACTCTGCAGCTCCTCACTGTCTAACTCATTCCATGGCTTTTAGAGACCCGATGATGCTTTTTAAAGCATTAATATGTTTCTACTCTAGTTGCACAGAATAGCTCCTCCACTCTAATCAAGGTCACTCTGCAGAAATGCAAACAATAGATGGTCTTTATACCGTATAGGTGAGGGGTGGGGGAGTAAGGAATAAAAATATGTAATGTCAAACCAAAAGCCATTTTTTTTAAGTTCACATCTGCCTTGACTGCCTCTTGAACCTCTCATCACTCTGATTCCCACCCAAGTACTGTTGCAAACAATACTGTGCCAACAAAAAAACAGCTAACATGAATATCAGTCCATAATTTGTGTCTGAACTAGTCTGTCCACCAGAAGCACTACAAATAATATCTAAAATTACTGTAGCTAAAGTATTTCCCTACTCTTCAGTATGATATAAACTCCAAGAAAAAGTGCAATATCAAAGTAAAGCACTAAGTGGATACCTATTTTCAGTACTTTAGATTCATCTTCCACCCTTTTGGGAAAATTGGGATGTTTCCAAGGAGTATGCAGGCATGCAGACACGACAAAGAGATTAATTACACAACAAAAGGCAGCATCTGTAAGAGTATTCTCTCTATGCAGGAGGCCAAATACACATCCAGTTAACCAGATTCTCTCTATAAACAGTGCTTTTAATTCCTGCATTTCTCACATTGGGTATGTGTAATTCTATTTGCATGTAAATACCATTTTACAATTTGCAATTGCATTCTGCAGTTAAGGTGATTTCAGCCTGGGTTAAATTTAAACCTCTTTAATGTACAACTTCATAACCCACCAAGGTCCTTCATTTCTGACAAATGTTAGCTGAGGCAGAAGGCAGCTCACGAATACCCTGAAGAATCACCTTCTCATAAAGTGGCTGAATATATATATGTATATATATTTATAAATCCACTGAACAGATTACATTATATCATTGTCTTAACGGTGAGGGACGGGACCTGGTGATACAGGCTGCTCATTCTGATCCTCTATTCCACTGCAGGATTCAGCAGAGGGTGCTGTCAGGCAAGCCCGCTCTTTCAGCACAGGAAGGCAATCTGCCAAACCTTCATTCGTTACTAGGTGACACACTAGTCTGGGACTTGCTCTGCGCTGCCTCGCCTCTTCCCCTCCGCCTGCAGCTCGGCAGCTCAACCTGCCCATGCCCAGCTCCCC